ACAAGGGGCACCCTGAGTCAGACCTGAGACATGCAGTTCCACCTAGAAACAAGGGGCACCCTGAGTCAGACCTGAGACGTGCAGTTCCACGCTGAGACACAAGGGGCACCCTGAGTCAGACCTGAGACAAGCAGTGTCATGCTGAGACACAAGGGGCTCCCTGGGACAGACCTGAAATGCTGTGCTTCTGGCAGTCCTCCCAGACCCAAGGTGGACATGTCAGCCATGACTCTCAATCTCTTAGAGACATTTATAGTAGTTGCCATGCCGACAAGGCAGTTAGCTGGCTGGGCTAATGAATGTCTGAGCCTGGGGAGGCCAGAGCTGGCCCTGGTCAACAGCTGCTCTGAGAAGACGGTCTTGAGTGGAGTGGCCCCTTAGTTCTACCTCAGGCCAGTGACTGGCTCCCAGCATCAGAGGTACCTCTGTCTACAGCCACTGGACCAGAGGCAGGTCTGGGCTGACAGGAAGAGATGGCCAAAGGTGGCACCCTGGTCTTCTTGTTGGGCAGACAAGCCCCTGGGAGCTGGGACATGCTGGCCAGCAGCATCTGGAGTGACCCCAGGGCACCATGGGCCCACCTAAAACTTGTGCACCCCACGTGAGACAGGCGACGTGATGTCCCTCCCGGGCCTCAGCTCTCCCACCTGTGAAACCGGTCTAAGAGCAAAAGGGTAGAGCATTACTGGAGATGCAGATGAAGGCAGGCTTTCCCGGATGCCCCCCAACCCCGCCGCCCATCCCAGGGGTCAGTCTTTGGAGACCCTGAAGGATGCCCCAGCGTGAGGGCATCACAGAGCCAAGGCAGAGCCCATACAAAGCCGGAGGTCATGTTTGTCCCAAACGCATCACAGGGGGAGGTGCCGCGGCCTATCCTGGGGCTCATGGGTGTGGGCAGGGGCTGCCTTGAGGCACAGTGACCAGCAGCCCCCAAGAAGGCCAGGGATGGAAGCCCCCAAAGTGGGCGTCAGAAGGTCGGGGTGGCAGTGTGCACGCACGCAGATGAGGTGGCAACACCAGCCAGGGGCCACCCCAGCGCCCCTCAGGCAGGGGTGATCTGTAGAAGGCTGGTGGCTGCTGTGGTGTGATTAAGTGTGCCGGCCCTGTCCCCTGGCATCAGTGAGGGTCCCCACAGCCCAGGGTCCCCCTGCCTTCCCACCCTGGTAACCAGATGAGCCTGGTGGAGCAACGGCGCCCTCTGCCGGCCGTCTCCCAACCCTGCATGGCCTGGATCAGGGATTGGAACCCAGCTGCCCTTATCTGCAAGGCTGGCTTCTGCTTCGGCCCCTGGGGTGGGGCCATGCCCTGGCCGGCCCTCTGTGTCCTGGGCTGCCCTCTATTCCTTCTTCAGGCCCAGGCCAGCTGTCATAGCGTCTGGGCCCATGTCCACAGTAAGCATGGTGGTGGTGGTGGCGGCGGTGGCAGCAGCGGCAGCAGCAGCAGCAGCAGCAGGGCAGCCAGCAGTGTGCCCGGGCCCCTGGGTGGCAGGGAGGCCAGGGAGCTGCAGGAGCAGACCTCATAGCCATCCTCGGAGCGGCTCTGGTCGTGCTGGCCCGGTCGGGCTAGTGTCCCGTCCTCGAGGTCCGAGCCCATGACCTCAGGGCTGCCAGCCTGCAGCTCCTCACAGACAAGCCAGTCCTGAGCTGTGGACTTCGGGTACCCAGGTGCCACCTCCAGCTCGCTATCCAGAACCTTCCAGTAGTCCTTGCCACGGAAGAAGTAGGAGGCACCTGGGCAGGAAGAGGAGGGGTGCTGAGCTTGGCCTGCAGCAGGAGGGATTCTAGGTAGACAGCAGGAGGCGTTCATGGTTGTGTGTGTATGTTGGGGAGGGGGTGTATGTGTGTGTGTGGGAGTGGGGGTGCTCAACCCCTGGGAGCAGCACCTCAGAGGTGGTGGTGGTGTGTGTGTATGTGTATGTGTGTACCCCAGGCCCCCTCTGTTCAGAACCCACTCACCAGTTGTCAGGCACCTAGGCACTGAGAATGGTTTGTGTCTGACCCTCCAGCCTAAACGTGGGTGATCTGAACCCACCCAGCAGGGCCCTGGTAGCATAGTGGGTTACATGTTGGGCTGCTAACCACAAGGTGAGCAGTTCGAACCCACCAGCTGCTCTGTAGGAGAAAGATGAGGCTGTCTGCTCCCAGGAGGTGCACAGTCTCGGAAACTAAGAGGCAGTTCTACTCTGCCCTGCAGGTTCGCTGTGAGTCCTAATAGACTCAATAGCATTTTTTTAATTGCCTTGTAAGAAGCACCTGGCCATCTGCCCCCATTAGGACCACGCCAAGCAGCCCTACAGAGTCCAGCCTATTGACACGGGTTCACTGTTGGTAGGCACTGACCCACCGCCCCTGTCCTAGGTGTTGGGGGAAACAACTTCCTGCTGCAGACGGGCAGGCTGGCACTCTGGCAGGGGTGCAGGAGGTGAGGTCCAGTTCAGGAAGCCCTCATATAAATGATGGGGGTGGGGGTGCTGCAGCAGGGCCCAGGGAGGGCGGCCACCTCCCCCCCACCTCCCGCCTCCCTGCCCTCTGCCACCTCAGACACCACACCCCAGGGGCACTCACCATCAGACCAGCGCATGGCGTCATCGAGCGCGCTGGGGACACCCCTCCAGGGGGGGCTCCGGGCGGGGTAACCGGGGTCCATGCGCCTTGTGTGGTCATCGTAGCGCCAGTGCAGCTGGTCCTTAAAGAAATAAGTCTTGTCATTGTGGGCCCAGGAGAAGACGGCGTCCACACCGCCCGGCGGGAGGCTGAAGTCGGAGATGGGCCTCGGGTATCCTTCCTCTACGTAATTGTCCTTAAACACCCAGTATCTGTCTCCTGGGGGTGAGAGAGAACACTTAGGGGAAGGCCGGCGGGGGGGCTGCCCTGCCCTCCCCCCCAGCCTACCCCAACACCCCTGTGGCTTCAACATGGGAGCTCCAGGGGTGTCCAGAGCACCATGACAGGCCTGGCATGGGTCTGTGCAGATGGCCTGGGGCCACCGTCCCCGAGAACCACAGTGCAGAGGGGCTGGGCCACCGTCCCAGAACCACAGTGCAGAGGGGCTGGGCTTGGAGGCCAGAGGTCCTCGAGCAGGTGTGCAGGGCTGGGCTTTTGGGAAGGCTCGTCTAGCATCTGGTAGCCCCAGGTGATTGCGACCCACGGCCCTGCACCCCTCCCATCTGCGCCCTGTCTCCACACGGCCATGTCCCTTTTCCTTTCCTAAAAGGTCACCAAAGCCCAAACTGAGCTCCCAGAGGCCTCGGTGGGGCTCCCAGGACGGTTGGTCTGCACGGGGGCAGGGAGCCTCGGTGTTCCTCTCAGAGCAGCTGGCGGTTTGATTGGCACATCCTTGTGGCTAGCTAGCAGGCCCATGCATACCCACGACCCCAGCAGAGTTCCCATCCATACGCCCCTCTCCCAGCCCGAGGACCACCTGCTCCTGCCTGACCCCACTTTCACTCAGTGAGCCGGGCCACACCCTCCGGTGTCGGAGGCCAGGGCGTCCACATGTCTGCTTGCAACAGGGTGGTTGTACAAGGGACAGGCGTCCCCTGGGGAATGGACCGCTGGGAAAAGCCATGGACAGAGCGTCTGCCTGCTGCTCTTTTGCCTCGACTGCCAGCAGGGGAGCTAGAAACCCCAGCGGCAGCCAGAGCGGAGGAGTCTGCCAGCACCCCACAGCAAGGAGGGGTGGGACAGCAGAGGCAGACCCACGCGTGACCCACGGGGCCAGAACCGAGGCCGACCAAGGACACCAGGACCCACAGCAGTGGGCAGTCAGCGGGCACTGCCGACAGGGCTGGAGCTGGCTAGGAGTGGAGGATCACAGGGGAAGCCGTCCACCGGCTGTCTGAGTGCCCTCCCTCGCGTGGCTGTAGCACACCGTGGTGAGGCGCTTCCAGGAACATTACTGCTCACAGGTCCCTCGTGTCTCGGCAGCGGGAGGCCTTCCTTGCGGGGCGTCCTGGTCGCTCCCTGGCCTGGGCAGCCCTCACAAGGTGCCTGTCCTGCCCAGCATGACCCTCGTGTGAGTTAGATGCGATTGGGATTTAGACAAACGCTACTCAGGGCTGGCCCTAGTGACTTTGTGGCAGAAATCCTTTTTCCAAGCTGCCCACATCCACAGAATAGGGTTCCCACGTGTACTGGGAGTGGTGGTGTGTGCATCAACCCACAGCAGGTGGTCTCTGCCCCACCCCCACCACAGGACCTCCCCTCCAGCTTTACAGTGGAGAAACCCAAAGGGTAGCCCCATCTGGTGCCCACCCTGGGAGGACCATGCCACCTCTGCACTGCACACCCCAGCCCCAACCGAGGATGCATACGAGGAAGCCCCAGAGGCGGGCAGGAGGGAGGCTGGACAGGGCGGCCCACGTGTGACAGGGAGGCCCTGGGGAAAGGGCTGCTCCAGCTGCGACGCTGGAACGTTCTGTGAGGCCAGGGCAGGACGTGGGGCGCAGGGCGGCCCGCCGGGAAGGCTGGGTGTCAGACCTCCCCTGAGCACACACCAGGGAACACAGCAAGCACAGCAGGTCAGGGAGGGTGAGCCTGGAGGACGCCTGCTGGGAATCCTTGGGCATCAGAATCTCACTTCAAAGCGCTTACAGACCGGGAGGGAGGATGCGAGGCCCATCGCTGCAGGAAGAAAGCAAGGGGCCTGGGCAGGCCGAGCTCAGCCTGCACCGAGGTGTCCACTGCAGCACTGCCCTCCACAGCCGGCTAGATTCAAAATGTTTACTATAACCCTGAATTTTTGGCTATATTAATTTGGTTATGAAGTTTTGCCTTGACAGCTTTCAATGTATAGAAAATAATCATGTCGTTCATGTGACTCTTTTGATTTTATATATAAAACAAAAGGGGGAATTGTGGGAAACAGAAAGATTTCTCCCTAGTCGTCTCCCCCAAATATATGTTAGACTGAGGACACTGCTTGCAGCTAATGGTAAGTGATGGTCAAGTTACCTCCCTGAAGGCAGTGAGTTGCCAGACGACTGCCTGGTCCCTCCACAGGTAGGGCCCACTCACTCCCGGCTGTTAAGAACAAGGGGCTACTTCTCCCTACAGGCCTGCAGGCATCAGTTTGGTCTCTGCAAGGTGGGTTTACACCCTACTGATAATGGTTTCTATGGTGGGCCGGAGAACAGGTCAAACTGGCTCAGTGACATCCAAAATTAAGCTCCTCCCTGAATCTAGGATCCATCCTCGTCACATATATACCCCAATCCCTCTCTTTCCTATTGCATGTATATCCCTAGATTGTCACCCTCTCGTTACTGTATTACCTATAGTACAACCCCTTCCTGTGATGTATGTCTTTACCTGTAATTAGGGGGCTTGCATGTCCCCAGAGAATATAAAAGCCTTGGTTAGCAAGAAATCTCTCTCTCCACGTGGGCCACCGAGCGGGGCAGATGTGAGCATGCTCCCATGACTGTGTCTGACTCCATTATTTCAATCTCTCTTCTATGTCTCATGCTCTCCATGACTTTACTGTAATCTTTACTTGTTATCGCCGTGCAATTGCACCTCCCGGACCCGGTTGCTGTGTTAGGGGCTGGTAACCCTGACACTGTCTGTGGCTCCAGAGGTCGCTCGGGGTCAGAACCACCTGCACAGCGCCTGACAGCTGTGGGGGAGGTGGAGGGGGGCGAGTTTGAGTTTGAGGGGCTTTGATGCTTTCTTGGTGGAAGCCGTGCAGGTGCTCACGGTGCCCCTGGAAGGAGCAGGCGCCCCAAGTGGCCACACCGTGGTTGACTGGCAGGTCCCGTGGCCAAGGGGGGAGGCTGGTGGGGAGAAAGATGCTGGAGGTTCTTGACTTCCTCAAAGGAACACGGTGACCCCTATTTCTGTGGGAACATGTGACTGAATAGCGTCCCCTCAAAACACGCACCCTCCCCAGACCTCAGGACGAGACTCTATTTGAAACAGGGGCTCTGCAGGGCGACCAGTCAGGTTCCGTGAGGTCAGGAGCCCTGATCCAGTGACAGGGGAGCCTCCCTCGGAAGTGCCCTGCCAATCGCGGGGTCGGGGGCTGGAGGACAAAGAGGAGGCCGCCTGGGAAACCCGGCAGGGCCGCGCTGCCCCGCCCCACAGGGCTGCTGTGCACCCCGCCACTTGATGGCAACAGTCTCCTGAGAGATGGCCACGTGGCCACAGAGCCACGGGGCAGAGGCCGGAGAGATGGGCCCCAAGCCCAGCAGGAGAGCCTGGAGCGAGCAGGAGCTGGAAGGGACAGGAAGGACAGAGGAGGGGGCCCTGCCCACACCCCGTCTCTGAGACTGCCTCCAGAGCCCCGAAGGGCAGGGGCCGCGGCATCCTGGGCCACAAGTGCACACTGCACACTCCCACACTAACAGCACAGTCACTAACACACGAACACAGCACATACTGCCACACACACTCGCACTTACACACTGCACCCTCACTGACAGCACACACTGCACACTCGCACACTAACAGCAGTTACTAACACACATGAATACAGCACACACATTGCCACACTCACACAGTGCACACTCACACTTACACACTGCACTCTCACGCTAACAGCATAGTTACTAACACACACTGCACTAACAGCACGCACATTGCCACACTCACACACAGTACACACTCACACTTACACACTGCACTCTCTCACGCTAACAGCATAGTTACTAACACACACAAGTGCAACACACACACACACACTGCACTAATAGCACAGTGCACTCACACACTAGCAGCACATTTACTAACACACACAACTGCACACACACAGTGCACACTCACAATTACACACCGCACTCTCACTCTCACAGCACGCACCTCTGCCCCGCCACGTCCCACAGAGAAAAGTGTCTCCCCTGAGGAAGAGGGAGTGCACAGCAGGGCCTGACCGGGCTGGCATCGCGGGCACCCGCTGGACAACTGCTCAGCTCGCCGAGGACCCCGATTCTACCGGAAAGCTCCCCAGCTCTACATTTTTTTCACTTCCAGGTGAAAGTTCAAGTGAGATGCAGGCACGGTCAGGGTCCCCACCCTGAGGGCCTGCCTTAGGCGGCCAGTCTGGGGAGGGTGGGCATCTGGTGGGCGGCAGGTCCCAGGTGTGACAGGTTCCAGCCCCTCAGCCTTAATCAAGGGGCAATAGGATGCAGGCTTCATCTGGGGTTCCCTGGTGTTCACCAGACAAAAGGGGGTGTTCCGGATTTGACACCCCGAAGCACACACCCACATAGAACACAGGAGCCAGTGTGTGATCAAGGAAGCCTCACAGGCCCCCACGACTGGCAGGACTCAGGGGGCTCAGTACCCAGCACCTGCAAATAGGTGCTTACGGGGCAGCCCCCAACCCACCCCATGGCAGCCATAGGAGACTAGAGCCAGGCTCCCGACTCTGAGGGTGCTCATGGTGCCCCAGGACCGTGGCACTGGCTGTCCTTGGTCCCCAACCCTAGGCCACCCCTTTGCAACACGGGCTCAGACTGTTGGGTCACTGTCGGCCTGCACGGTAGGGGCAGGCGGCCAGCGGCCCAGCCCTCCGTGCCCTGCTGTCCGGCCCACCTTTGAAGAAGACGATCTTGTGGTCACTGGTGCGCTCGTACACGGCGTCCACACCGTCCAGGTGCAGCGGCAGGCCCCGCCAGAAGCGGTGCATCTGCGCAGGCCACAGGGACACCAGGTGCCGGTCCCGTGTCAGCCGCCAGAAGTACTTGCCTGTGGGGGCAGGGCGGGGCTGCAGTCACTGAAGGTATGGAGCCCAGCAGGGTGGGCACTGCCTGAACCACCCGCCCACCCACTGCCTACCTTTGAAGAAAAAGGCCTCGCCCCGGATCTGCGCCACAGCATCGAAGTGTGCACTGCACCTGTGAGGGACGTCCTTCCCAGACCTGTGGGCGAGAGCCACGTGCTGGGGGGGGGGGGCGTGCGATGACAGCAGGGTGCCAGGGTGGGGTGCACTGGGGCGGGGCTGAGAGCCATGTGCTAGGTGCAGGACATTCTGGGGGCGGGGCTGAGCCTGCTGGGGACAATGAGAACCATGTGCTAGGGGTGGAGTCACCCTGGGGCACCCAGGCTGGGGCATGCTAGGGGAGGCACAGAGCCACTTGGTGGGGTGAAGGAAGGTGCTCTGTCCAGGGGAGGGGCCTGCTGGGGCAGCCAGAGAGCCCTGTGCTGGGGCTAGGGTGGGCACTGCACTGCTGAGAGAAGGTAGCTGGGGGTGGAGGGCTGGGTGGGCAGGACAGCACCCACTACGGGAGGTGCATGCTGGAAACGGGGCAGAATGCAGGGTGGCAGCAGTGTCTGGGGGGACAGGCCCTTCCCAATCCCCAGGACTTGCATGGGAAGCAGCTGCCTGCCGGGTGCTCTGACCCCGACAAGACTCGGGACGGTGCCGTGAGAAGCAGCTCTCTGAAAGAACGCTCCTCATCAGAGCCCAGCGGGCAGTCGTCTCAGAGGGAGAGGCCTCACGCGAACACCCAGCCCCCAGGGGGCACATACACACGGTGAAGCTCTCGGCCGCTCACCCAAAGGCCAGAGGGTCAAGTTCACTGAGAGGCCGCTCAGATGAAAGGCCTGGACATGTGTTTCTCAGAAAGCAGTCCCACAAACCCTTTGGTGTGAGTCCTGCCCTCAACACAGGTCCCTAAACACCAGGGTCTCCTCTCTGTCCACGGGGTCTGCACCATGTCCACTCTGAGCACGGGTCCCCATAGAGGGTCTCCTCTACGTCCACTCTGAGCATGGGGTCCCCACACATTGGGGTCTCTTGTACATCTACTCTGAACACAGGGTCCCCATATATCGGGGTCCCCACTATGTCCACTCTGATCATGGGTCCCCACACATCAGGGTCAACTCTGTGTCCACTCTGAACACAGGGTTCCCATACATGAGGGTCTCCTTTATGTCCACTTTGAGCACAGGGGCCCCACACATCAGGGTCTCCTCTATGTCCATTCTGAACACAGGGTCCCCATACATCGGGGTCCCCACTATGTCCACTCTGATCATGGGTCCCCACACATCAGGATCAACTGTGTCCACTCTGAACACAGGGGCCCCACACATCAGGGTCTCCCCTATGTCCACCCTGAGCACGGGGTCCCCACACATCGAGCTCGTCCTCCTTTTTACCAAAATGCTAGACATCTTTCCAATCTCACACCTCAGCCCTCAGCCTCCTCACCAACACACACCTGGGAGCCACATGGCCTGCGATGCAAAGGCTCAGAAACAAGTCAGATGTCCAGGGCCAAGTGCTTTATGAAGTGAGGCTGGGCAGCCCACAGCACTGACCCCCGGCCTTCTGGGTGCACACAGGGCTGAAGCCGGGCGTCAGGGCTGGCCCTGCCACAGGCAGTCCCCGGTCACCTCGTCTGCTCTGAGAACCTCTCAGTGACATCTGCTTTGTGTCAGTCCTTCCTTGGAGTTGTGAACTTGACCCACGAGTGCAAGGACCATGCACGGCTCAGCATTTACCACAGGGGGCCTGCAGTGTCACCACCAGGGCCAGGTAACAACCCCCTTCTTGCCGCCTCCTAGTCACTGTGGGCTTGGGGGCTCCCCGATCATGGTAATCACTTTCTGTTTTTGCAACACTGTTCCCCCCAAGGGCATGCCTCTAAGCACTGCATATCACCCTTCCAGACCCCAGAGGCTCGTCGTCTCTCATCACAAGGTCAGCAGGTTGGACCCACCAGCTGCTCTGCACTGAAAGACCGGCTTTCTCCTCCGCACGTAGGGTTACAGGCGGACACCCACGGGGCTGCTCTGTGCCGTCCTGTAGGGTCACTGGGAGTCAGAATTGGCTGGATGGCAGTGTGTTTTTTTCAGATGCTACTTCTTCTGATTTTTAAACTTCAGATCCATGGAAGCTCTCTCTCTCTCACACATGCATGCACGCATGTACAGCCCACTGGGCTGAAACGTGTATTTTTTTAAGCTACGTGGAAAATGCCCAGGAGGACACACTGAGTGTCTGACCTCAGCGTGTGTGTGTGTGTGTGTGTGTGTGTGTGTGTGTGTGTGCATGCTCCTTGGGGTGTGTGTGTGTCCGCAGCAAGCAGAAATCACAATCCCGGCATCATTTGTTCGGACGTTGTGTCCTTGGCATGCATCACACAGCCAATAAATAAACCAGGATGAGAACAAAAAGCCGGAGCCGCACTTTCTGACCTTGGCGGAGAAATTGGCTTCAAGATCCATGGCCAAGCACGGAAGGCACAGAGCCACAGTGCACAGCCGAGGAAAACCCAGGGAGAACATGGAACCAAGCCTTGACACCCACCGTCACCCACTGCCACCCTGTAGGATGGGGGGTAGGGGAGCCTGTTCCGTGGGGTTCCCCCGAAAGTTAGCTTAGCATGTGGCGTCAAACGACTGGCCTTTGGTGAGCAGCGGAGCACTTAACCACTGCGCCACCAGGGCTTTGCCTATTGGAGATAAAAACCAAGCCCACTGGCGCGGAGTTGGTTCTGACTCATGGAGACCCTGCAGGGCCAGGCAGAACTGCCACCAAGGATTTCCAAGGCTGCCACTGTTCCAGAAGCAGACGGCCTCACGTGCCTCCCAAGGGGCTGTTGGGGGGCTCAAACCAGCAACCTTTTGGTGAGCAGGCTGAGCACTTCAACCATGATGCCACCGCTGAAAGAACAGTGTGAAACACTCACTGGCTGGCTTCATCGTCACCTAAGTCACATTTGCTGAGTCCCACTCCTGGCCACCCCATAGGACAGAGGGGTACAGTCCGCCTGGACGCAGACAGCCTTGTCTTCCTCCCGAAGAGCAGCTGGTGGGCTCGAACTCCCAGCCTGGCTTTGACTTAGCAGCTGAGTGATTTCACTGAACTCTCAAGGAGACTCCCAGGGCCCCTCAGGAGCCCGTGAAAGACACTACATCACTTGGGGGCAGTTAGCCCAACGGTGAGGCCTCTTCACTTGAAGGCGCTGTGTGGGGACCATCTGCCTGGGATGGGTCGGGAGCTCCTAGCGGCAGGCCTGGCCCCCAGTGCCACCGCCCACTTACAACACACTGGACCGGTTGTGAGGCGGGTCTGGCAAGGGAGGTGGCTCCTCAGGCTCCGGGGGCCCGGTTGGGGACACGGACTCCCTCACACCTGTGGATGACAAGGAGAGCATGCAGTGAGTCATGAGATGCCCGCTAACCACCGAAGGCCATTCATTCTTCTTGGGCCCGAAGCCACACAGCTGATACACAAGGAGCCTCCCCCCAGCCAGGGGCTGCATACCCTGCAGTAGGCAGAGACTCCTGCCCCTTGTCGCTGATAGGTGATGTGTGTCAGTAAAATTCGAAGGACAGAACCTACCACAAGGTTCACACCCAGGTGCCGAGTGCCCCAGCACTGACTCTGGGCATGCACTCTACAAACAGAGAGCAGGGCTTCCCCAGGAGCCTGCACCACACTGTTCACCACGGCACAAGGGGAAGCAACCCAGTGTCCGCCCACAGACGACGGAGACACGAAACACGGTGTGTACATGCATGGAGTATGATTCAGCCATAGGCAAATGAAGTCACGACAGGTCCTACACGTGGCTCGGGACGCTGAGGTCAGCTACCACTACCCACCACCTGGGAAGGGACACATTTACAAGGCCCTGCGCAGTATGGGAGCAAGATGTGGAGCAGAAGTCAAAATCACCAAAGACACTGGGCTTACTGGTCAGAGAGAGACTGGTCCTTAGTTACCCTTCGGGTCAGGAACTGAACTCCCCCTACCCCCCACGCTCGATTTTCAGCCAATCAACAGACAGGTCTGTCAGATGAGCAACAACACTAGGGAGATGCAAATATCTTAGAAGTCTGAGATCAAAGAGGTAGCAGGCTCCCGAGGACAAAGCTGGGACAGAGTGGGAAAGGAGGAATGGAGACAGCAAGCCGGGGAGGAAGCAGGTGTGTGGAGTTACCGCGATGACGGCATGGAACAAAGTGTGCAGGAGCTGGTGAGTGGAAAACAGACCTTCGCCCGAGGCATAATCAAAAGGTGGAAAACAAAGACTACGATGCTGAGGACAAGAGGACGCACAGGAAGGGCTTCGACAATTTCATGGAAGGATTCCGCTAACTTTCCACTTGAGATTCCCATGAGCTTTCAAACGACTAACACAACAGGGAAGCAAAGTTGATCTTGTATCTGGAAATCTGAGGAGGATACAGCTTCCCTGAACCCTGGACTCCAGGTAGGGTTGTGTCCACAGGACCACGATGTGTGCCCAGCAGACCTGGGCCGGGGTTAGACCCCAGGCTTGGTCTGTGGGTCATGCTCTGTCCGCTCAGCGGGAGAGCATTAGCTGAGAGTTACCAGCTCTGACGGGCACCCATGCCCAGCAGCCCCCTGATCACCACCCTTGGTCGCCCGGGTCGGCTCACCGTAGAGCTGCCAGACTCTCACTCTGTCCTCGTAGGGCAGCCCGTAGCGCAGCGGGTCGCCCACTGGGCCCTGGTAGTATGGCCGCATGATGGACTGGGCAGCAGCGACGTGGCTCAGCCCGATGGCGTGGCCAAACTCGTGAACAGCCACTGCGAATAAGTCCATCCCGTGGGCATCTGGGGGACAGAGGACAGGTGAGCATGTGAAGTCCCATCCAGGTCCTGCTCCTGAGCATGATGGGAGATCAGCAGACCACTCAGGTTGGAGTTGGGGGTCCTCCCTCCAGACCTGTGTGTCACCCAGGGTGGGCTGTATGGTCTGAGACGGGCGGTGACGGCCTCCAGCCTTGCTGGGGCCGGACACCACGCCCTTCGCCTCCCACACGCTGTGGGAACACCTGGGCAGCTGAACCCACCCGAGGAGCGGAAGGTCCATGCCTCGTCGTCATCGAAGTGGGCATCCCCCGCGGCGTGGTGGTTGCCGGGGAGGAAGGCGTGGGCAATGGTGCCGCCCGGGCCGTCAAAGGGGTAGCCGTCATCGTGGTCAGCCCTGGAGAAGTCGATCTGGATGTCCGCCGCACTGCCCGCCACTTCGTGGAAGTTGAGCGGTGTGATGTCGCCCCAGACCTTGAGGGCGTAGTACATGAGCGCCCGCACTGTGTCGCGGCCGAGCGGCGAGTCCCGCGGGAACGTCCGGACCCTGCAGGGCAGGGGTGCAGATGTGACCACAGAGCTGGGTGCCTGGGCCTGGCAAAGCGCCTGCAGGGTGAGCACCCGCTCCGCCCCCCGCGCCCATCAGGTACAACCTATCCAGCGCAAACATGCCACTCTCTGGCCACGCCCCTGGAATGATAACATCCCCAGGTGGGCCCTCCCTAGGGGAGGAGCACACCCTCCTCTGGCCACACCCCTGGAATAAGCACGCCTTTCGTGGGCACGCCCACCCCTGGTAGGCACGCCCTCCAGGGGTAAGCCCGCCCACTGTGGACACGCCCTCCTGCGTAGGCCCGCCCCACGGAGCTCCTTTCTCTCTGAGTCAGCCAGAGACAGGACACTGGGGCTGATATCCCCCCAGGAGGGTACTGGAAGCTCAGCCTTCTGCTAAGGTAAGGATATGAGGTCCAGGTGGGCCAAAGCCTCTGGGCCAACAAACCACAATGCGTTTCCTATCTTGGCCCACCTGCCCCAATCTACCAGTTCCCACCTGAGGGGGCCATGTGGCTATCGCTCTTACATGAACTAGGACACCCCACCCCCCCAGCTGGCTCTGACTTGGGGACAACCGAGGGCTGAAAAAAAACCCAAACTCCAAGGCACTGCCATTGAATTAATTCTGACTCACAGCCATCCTATACAGGGCTTCTGAGACAGAGAACCCCATCTTTCTCCCTGGGTGTGGCTGGTGGGTTTGAACTATTGACCTTGTGGTTAGCAGTCCCATGCAGAACCCACAGAGCCACCAGGGCTCCTGAAGGCCGAATGTTATGGCTGTGACTGGGCGCCGTGGAGTGGGTCCTGACTCACAGTGACCACATGGACGGTGCAGTGAAAGAAGCACCACTGGGCTAGCAATCCTCAAACAACCCTTTGAGCCCCTCGTTGCAGCCACGGTGGTGTCAGTCCACCTCCTGGAGGGTCTTCCTGGACAGTGCCCCCCGATTCCAGGTCCAGCAGACCCTCAGGATACCAGTTAGAGGCTGTGCTGAGACACTGCCCCAACTGCAGGTGAAGGCTGCAGCAAACCAGTGATGCCCACACTGCTGTCTTGCGTTTGGAAATGGGCTCTTTGCTGATGAAGTAAGTGATGAGATGGGGCATCGCAGGGCGGGGTGGGCGCTGATCCAGCAAGCCTACCAGAGGCTGGCTGCCGTCCAGTCAACGCTGACTCATGGTGACCCTTCCTGGGTCAGAACACCCCCGTGGCCCACAACCGGAGGCTGTTTGGGAAGTACGTTGCCACGCCTCTCTTCTGAGGTGCTTTGGGGGTGGACTTGAACTGCCGACCTTTTGGTGAGCAGTGGAGGGCAGGAGTTCATTTGCACCTGCCAGGAACCCTCAAAGTCGAGTGTGAGAGTCCTTGTGAGAGACACAGGAAGACACACATATGGGGAGGAGGCCTCCCTCCCAGAAGATGGGAGGTGGAGGCTGGGGAGGTGCAGCCTTGAGCGAGGGCATGCCTGCATCTGCAGACCGGAAGACTTCCCAGGATGACAGCCCAGCTCGAAGAGCCGAAGCCCCGCTGTTTCCACCAGCACAGGGCATGCTAAGGTGACCAGACGTACCGCTTTTGGCGGGACAGTCCCGCTTTTTGGAGTTTTTTAAAAGTCTCGATTTTTGGAAAGAATGTACGACAAGCTAGGGAACGGTCTATTTGATCCATATAGACCAAATTTTTAATCAAGAACACCCCCTCTCCCTCCCGTCAATGGTGTCCCGCTTTAAATCTGGTCTCTTTTGGTATGCCCCATCCCATACCCACCTCCAGGACAAGTTTCTCTTGTTCCACTTGGTTGGTGTGGGGGCTTGGCGCCTGCGTCGGGAGAGGTCCGGACTGGGGAGGTCGGGGAGGGAGCAGCGTGGGGTCTTCATCAGCGTCAGTGTGGCCTCGTCTGTGGGGGAGGGGGGCAAGCAGGGGTCAGGCCCCTGTTCCGAGTCCACCCCCTCCCTTCTTGCTGCCCACCCTGGTCTGGTCTGGGGATGCCAGCCCTGGCCCTCAGCCCCGCAAGCCTGCTGAGGGTCAGACACGGACACACGAGGACTCACTTCTGGGTTGTGTGTGCGCACTCATTCATGGAGTTGCACAGAAGGATAGTTACCTTACGGCGGGCGTGGACACAAGCCAATCAGAACAGTGAGCAGCAGGGCCCTGACCAATCAAAAAGGGTCTGGTTGAGCCTCAGCCAATCAGAACGTTCACCAACACAGTATTGCTCTATCAGAATGGGTGTAACAGTCCTGACCAATCAGAATGTCCACCAGCAGAGCCCGGACCAATCAGAAGGGGCCTGGCTGGGCTAGCACCCTACAAGGCGCACATTGCCACCAGGGTTGGGACGTCCATGTCTGTGCACAGATGTCTATGGCTGCCGGCCTGGGAGAGGTGCTGGTCAGCCTTGGGTGGGCAGGAAGCAGGGAGTGTCACAGGTACACCCGGCTTCAGGGTCCTTTCTCATGGACGCTGGGTTCTCTAGAAAGGGGCATCTCCAGTGGTATAGCCCCTGCTTAGGGGGCAGGTGGTAATTGAGTCCTCAACCCCAGGCGGCACCTCCCATGAAGATGGGAGAGGGGCAGTGCTGGGGTGGGGGTGCAAACATCAAACAGCAGGACATCAGGGTGGGAGACCTGCCCTCACTGTCCCCAGGACTGACCCAGCACGCCAGTGGCCTCCAGGCCCCCGAAGTGTTGCATGGCTGTAATGGCCTTGGACAGCTCCTCTTGTGTCTGCAGCTGCCCTGTAGAGGGGTCAGCTGGTGGCAGGTAGCCAAACCTGCTCAGCCACTCCTGCAGGCAGAGAGATAAGTGTGGGGTGGGGGGGTCTTAATGTGGGGGTTTGGCCCCCTGCAAAGCCCCGCATGCAGCCCACAGGCACCTCTGGCTTCAACCTGGGCTATCTCCCAAGCACTGCCAGAGCACACTCTGCATGCACAGGGCGCCCCTTGGACCAAGAGTTCAGGTGCAGCGCACAGTGCGGGCAACCGCACCTAGCACTGCCCCCTCCCCCGGGGCAGCAGAAGACCCAGGGGCAGCTGAGGAAACTGAGAAGTCACAGCTCTTAAATGGGACGGTAGCAATGCTGGCCTGAGCTGAGCAAAAGAACAGTCCTCGGACCTACTGCAACTGTGGGTGGTGGGTCTTCCAGGAGCGCTGGGGCGTGCAAGTGCACATGCACACACTAGCTCACACTCACACACAGGGTTCATACACACACACCCTGGCTGCCTTGGTTCAGGCTGCAGGCCCATAGAGCGTCCTGGGTTCCATAGCACTCCCCAGGCAAGGGGCTGCCTCCCCCCAAGCTGGTTTGGGGGAGGGTGGGTGGTGGGCGGAGAGCCCTGGGAAAGCTTTGAGCTGAGAGAAGCTGGATGATGGGTCATCCTGGTGGTCCAGCAGCCTGTGGTCTGTCCCTCTGGGAAGCCCCCACTGGTCCCCAGGGAGACCCTGCCAGGCCTGGACTTTTGAGCAGCTTCCCAATCACCCCCTGGAGACCTCCACAAGAGAATGAGCCCCAATGAGTCTGAGGGTACACAGAATACCAGGAGGGGTGCTTGCCCGTCTGGGGCCCCACACCCTCCTGTGTCCTGGAGGCTCCTGGAACCTGAGCAGGCAGTCCCCAACCTGGGGGCCAGGAGTCCCTCACAGCAGAGGGACGGGTGGGAGGGGCAGGGAGAATGGGATGTCTCACACTCTGCTCTGAGTCTGTGCTTACCCTGATCCCCCGGGGGAGGGGCACTGGGACCTGTCATTTGGATCTTCCATGGGGAAGGGGGTGCTGGGACCTCTGTCACCCTGATCTTCCAGCGGCCAGGGTCCAACTGTCCTTGGCCTGGTGGGTGAAGGCCTATTACAAAGCCAACCCAGGTTACTGGGCAGTTGTCCAGGGGACCTAGGTTAACCAGGCTAAGAGGGCTGCCCTCAGAGGCTGGAATCTGCACAGGACGGGTGTTGGGGGGCGCTGTGAACCTTGCATATCGGTATCTTGGAGCGAATATGGATGGAAGCACATGAGGCCACCCTCCTCGGATGCACACCCCTCCCTCCCTACCACCCACCGCTGTGGTGCTCCGGTGGGGTGTCCTGTGTGAGCCCGTCCCTGAAGTGCCCCAGTACCCGCAGCGCCCGGCTGCTCCTCTGTGGCCCCTGCCCACCCAACCACTCCCATCCGCTGTCTGGCCCTGCCTCTGCCGTCGCCTGGCGACCAGTTGGTCGGTCTCCAGGGCAACGGAGGCTGCTGCAGCAGGCGGCAGGGGGAACCTTCCAGAAGGCCCCGGGGAGGAACACTTGGAAGGGAGACCATGGTGCTCCTGACCCCACGGCCCCAGGGAAGTCGCCAAGGAACATAAACGGGCCATTACCGCAGATGGGGAAGGTGAGGCCTACGCAGGGTTCCACCTCCCTCCCTGTGCGGTTTCTTTCTTCTGTAGTGGATCACCGCTGGTTCTAACGCACTCTTACAAACCGCTTTTAAGAGGTGTGATTTCCGCGCAGTAAACTCCACTTTAGTAATGTTGGTGCAGGGAGACACCCCCACCCCCACCCCCCGCCCAGTTATGATGGGCTCAGGATGAGGGCTTGCAGGGATGTAGGGCAGAAATAGGGGGTGGGAAGAAGGGGTGAGGGGAGATGGGTGGGGGCTACAGGAAGGAGAGGGGGCTCTGGGAGACGGGGTGGGGTGCTGGAGTTGAGTCCTCACTGGGCTATGTCAAGCCCACTTATCACTGGGGAAGGGGATCAGGGCTCTAGTGTGAGGAGCCTCAGGGCCACCCCTGAGCCTGTAGCCATTGCATGAGGAGTCCCCCATTCGCAGCTCTGCCTGGGTGGGGTGAGGCCTGGCACCCAAGCTGCCCTGCTTTACAGCCCATTTCACAGCTGGTGAGCAAGGCTGAGGCTCTGAGCCCATGGCGGGGCAGTGGTTGCGCCCAGGCTCCAGGGCTCTCAGCTTTGGTGCCAGACCCTGGGACTCCCCAGCTCCTCGCCTCTCAGGCTGCAGCCTGACAGGTCAGAGGGGCCAGAGACCTACCCACCCCACTCACATCAGGTACACTCAATTTCCACATCTGTGCCTGCCTGGGTGGTGGTGGTGGGGTCAGTGCTCACAACTGCCCTGGACTTCTAGCCACCTAGATCATCTTTACAGGGTACCCACTGGTCAGGTGCCAGGGGATCGCGAGACACTGCCCATTGTTGCCCGGAAGGTAAGTGATAAATGAGGGTTTCTCACATGAATAAATGGTCAGAGGTGGAGATGAGGCCACACATGGGGACAGCCCTCTGGGCGGTGAGGGGAGAGGGCGCTCCAGCCTTCAGGGCAGTGCTCTCATGCCCCCACCTCCCGAAGCTGCTGTGAGGTTGCCTGGCACACAGCCAGTGCCCGGGAGTGAACTGACCACCTCCCTCCCCCGCTGTCTGTGGACACTATCATCCCATTTCCCAAAAGAAAGAAAACAGGCCCAGAGAGGATAGGGCACACAGCCAGTAAGTGGCAGAGCGTGGCTGAAGGAAGCCTTCTACTTCAGGGGAGGCTGGGCAGAGGGACGGGAGGTCGGGAGGAGAGGGGACAGGAGGGCTGGGGAGGAAGGAGCCAGGGGCTGGGAATGGAAAGATGAGAAGGAGGGAGGGGCCCGGAAGTGTTCCAGGTGGTGGACTGCAGTATAAGTGGCCAAGCAAGAGCTGGCCCCAGCAGTCCCAGGAAGTTGGCAGGGTTGGAGAGGATGGCAGTGACTGGGAAAGAAGTTGGGGTGCAGTAAGTGATAGCAGGGGTTGGGGAAGATGTTGGGGTGCAGTAAGTGATGGCAGTGACTGGAGAAGATGTCAGGGTGCAGTAAGTGATAGCAGGGGTTGGGGAAGATGTTGGGGTGCAGCAAGTGATGGCAGGGGCTGGGGAAGATGTTGGGGTGCAGTGAGTGATGGCAGGGCACTGGGGAAGTTCTCGGAGTGCAGTGAATGATGGCAGGGCACTGGGGAAGAAGATGGGGTACAGTAAAGGATGACTGAAGTTGAGGAAGATGTCAGGATGCAGTAAAGGATGGCTTGGGGAATTGTTGGGGTGCAGCAAGGAGCTGGAGCTAGATACTGAATTCTAGATCCTGGATTCTGCCAGAACATGGCCCTTTCTCTCAGTCCCCCACCCCAGGAGCCTGGTACATAGTTGGCAGCAGCTAAAGTGACAGGTGCATCAGCTCCCCCACCCTGCAGTACAGGCCTGCATCCAGAGCCTGGCCAGTGTTGCTCCTGACCTTGGGCCGCAGGTTCTGGTCCTGGAAAGCCCCCTCCTGGGAGCCCCTCCATGTACCACGACTCTTCCCTAGAGCCCCACCTGGCTGGGCACAGACAGCATGTGCACGGAGTGACCTGGGGGCACCCCTGTTTCCACCCAGCTGATGTGACATGGGCATGGTGCAGGGCTCACAGGTGGGCTCACATGGGGGGCTGTTACCATCGCACCCAGTTCCCAGCCCCTTGATTTGGAGCAACTCAGGTGGACTGACACACGTTCTACCCCAGCCAGCTTCCCATCACACTGAGAGCAATGAGTACCAGTCACAGCCAGGGCTGGGGCTGGGGCAACAGTACCCCACTGGTACCTCTCCCTGAACAACCTCCCACAAGGACCTCCTGGTCCCAAGACCGCTCCTCTGCACCTGCAATCCCAGGTCTGCTCAGACCCAGACCTGAAACCAGGGTCCCATTCACAGCAGGACATGGGGGCCAGGAGCAGAGCTCACCCATGAGGAGGCAGTGTGTATGGGCGCTGCTGACTTGGAGGTGGGAACAGAAACTCCAGGGCACCCTGCAACCCCAAGGACACTTGAGGCTCTCACCACAGCTGGACGTCCTGGCCTGTGGGCTGCCCTTCCTGGGAGAGTGGTCCCCAGGGAGACGTGGCTTTCCCCCGCCCCGCCACTGCCGTAAAGGACACGGGCCTGCACGCTCTCTCTCTAGGAGTGGCCCATAGCTTGAGGAGGGAGGGCCTTGGTCGGCGGGGATGCAGCTCGGCCCCGGAGTGCAGCCACAGGCAGGCGGACACAGCGCCTGCCCCTTTGTTCCCCTGGTGGGCCAACCATGGTGGGGGTCCTTAGGCGCTTTGTTGGAACGCTAATCTTCATTGGGTAGGGAGGGGGTGTGGGGTCGTCCCCCGGACGCCAGCCCAACGCTGTCCGGAGAGCCGAGCGAGCTTACAAAGGGCCCTTGTCCTCGCTGCAGCCCCAGACCTGGAGTCCATTGGGTCTGGCCGGGGTGGCCAGGAGCCCCGCCCCAATCCAGCCCCTTCCCGCCCCCACACGCACCGAGCGCCGTTCCCCCGACGGCCACCAGAGGCCACCCTCTGCCCGTAGGAGCCGCGCTCCCGCCCCGAGCTCGGCCGCCTGGCCCGCAGCGCCTGCGCCTCCACCCGCCCGGCCGACCCTCAACCGCCAGGGCTACTGGACTGGGCCAGGTCCCAGGCCAATGGTTCCCAGGAGCGGCCGTGGTTGGTCCTCAGGAGGTTAGGGTCCCGGAACCAGAGGGAGCAGGTCTGGCAGGTGCAGCCCGGGCACCCTTTTCTGGGGAGAGGTGCGGAAAACTTCATAGCCGCCCGGGGCCTGACCGCAGGCTCGGCAGGTCGGGGCTTCTCCAGCCCACCGACCTCAGTCAGCCCTGCGGATGCCTCGGCCCCTTCGGTCCTTGCGGGGCCCGAAGACTGGGGCCTAGCTCTCCTGTGCCCCACCTCAAGCTGGAGAAGTCACCTCCAGGAGAGCACCAGGGATACAGGGGCCAGGGACCCCCACTTCTAACAAGGCGCAGGACAGAGGCAGGTGCGCGAGGTCAGGGCGCGTGGCCGTGAGGCGGCATTGGACGCAGGCACAGCTTTCCCGCAGACCGGCCGCCTCCTCCGGACCTGTGGCCACGTCCCCGAGGGTCCCCCCACGCCTCCTTCCCCTGGAGTCCTGGAGCCCCGATGCTCGAGAGCGGGGGTGCGGGACGGAGGCGGCGTCCCTAGTTTGGGGTGACCGCAGGGAGGCAGCTCCAAGGAACCTCCTTGTCCATGGCCCCTCACCCGTCTAGGTGCCGCGGACACCCACAGTCCGGGCAGAGGGGGAGCCCAGCCTCGGGGTCTGCACCCGAGCGGCCACTGCCCCCACCAAGCGGGAGTCCACGCGGGCGGGATAGCCGGATGCTGGGGGACGCTGAGGAGGGCATCGCTGCGTGCACGCCTGAAAAGGGGCTCTCGTTCGGTTCAGGACGGAGACGGTAGGTGTTGGGGGGGATAGACAAGCGAAGGTGGGCGTTCTGGAAGGAACGGCGGTAGCCAGCATCGCGCACTGTGGGGGCAGGGAGGCCGGCGCCCACACCCCGCAGCCCCGGCTCGGGGCGAACCCCACATCCACCCAGGAGCC